GTGAGGGATTGTATTTGAGTCAATGAGTCGATGCAATCAACTGGTTTTCCATAGATAGAAAACTTTGAATCAATTTGACTGGAGGATCTGTTTGAACTGTAAAGTGCCTTGAGGTGACATATGATGTGAATTGGTGCTAAATAAACAAACTGAATTGAATGGAATTGATGAAGTCTGAGGAGGAATCCAAGCAGAGCAAATGGAGGTAGGAGTATCTGTTCTAAGGTGGTTAATGACCTTTGGACCACCGATGAGATGAAGTCAGCAGTGGATCATGACCATCCTCTCAAAGCACTTCATGACTACTGATGCTCCGGCTGTAGGTCGTGGTTTTCAGGCCCATCATTGTGCAGCACACAGGGGACAGGGACAGTAGTGGCAGACTTTGAGTAGGTTGGAAGAGACGCTAGGGACAGTGTAGTTTTTTAAAGATGTCTGTAAGCAACCTCAAACAGCCCGTTTGCACAGTCCCTTACTATCTGCAAAGCCAGATTTTGATCATCTGACACACCTGACCCCCCTGCATTTCTAGATTCTCTGTGGTTTCCTTAACACTCAGCAAAGGATGCAAATATCTATTCCAGCACATAAAGTGGACCCCTACCCTTAAAAATTATTTACATGGGTTTATGTTTTGGTTGTTAACAGTTATTTCGTGTTTGACTTCATGTCAAAACAGGATTTTCCTCTGAAATACAGAAGAAAATATTTAATTTTTATATATAATTTTTTAACTTTAAGCTTCCAGATTAATCTTTCATTGTATTTCCAGGGTCTAGTAGATTTTGTAAGGAGCCACCAAAGCAATATCTCCATGGACAACTTATTCCAGACGGGGGCACTGTTGCTTACATGAAATTTTAAAATCGGTTATCCAAATTTTGCTCAATCATGTTTTCAAAGGGAATAAAACCTTTCTTTGAAAGAATCATCTCTGAATAAGCTTGGATAACGGCTCTTTTCCTCCCTCATCACCTGTGCAGCTCCTCTGGGTGACAGGCTGAACCGTGTGGATGATGGATGACCTTATCAAACTGGTTCGATTTCATCTGTTCCCTTTATTTTGACTTCAGGCTCTGATTTCTTACGCAAACACATTTTGGAGAAAGACTGAAAAATAAATGATTCTCTTCAGCTTATTTAAATGGAGCCAATTTAAATAAACGTCTCAAGGTGCTTTAAATAAAAACGTAGCTTTATTGTATTCGTACAGACAGATGACAAAGCTCCCCGTGAGAAGCTCCAGACCATCTATTGACAGGATGCTTTTAAGGTTTAGTTTTTTTTTATCAGAAGAATATCTAGCCCTAAATATACAAAAATATCCTATTTATTAACAAACTCTTTAACTAGAACTTGAGATTAGCAGGTTTAATGTTGAACTTTGAGGCCCGAGGTAGCGTCTAAATGCTGTGCCTGGATCAGGCTGATTTAAATTGGAAACTTCTAACATACCGTAAATTCTCTAATATTGGCCTGTATTCCAATAGCGGCCGGGTCTCTAACATTGGCCGGTCTCGCTGTCAGAG